CGCGGAACCACGGCTTCAGCGAGGAGACAGTGCGGCAAGTCTACGCGGTCACAGGTTCTCTCGAGCTAGCAGACAACGTCTTGCGCGAGATGCGTGAAGGCGCCAACGAGAAGGCGAGCGAGGCGCTCACTTCGCTCATGCACGACGAAGACGAGCAGGAGGATGGTGATCAAATGGACGACGAGGACATGTCCCCACATGAGTATGAGTTTGAGGGTTCCACACCCGAGGAGGTCGAGGTCGAGCGGGAGCTCACTCAGCAGCCAGAGTGGCGCCCCGATGGACCGAGTTTCGACTTCGACGATGAGGCACCTCTCGCAGAAAGCAGCCGCATCGACGCGTCCCATCTCCGAGCCCGCAGCTCCCTGCCAGAATCGCGAAGGTCCAAGCGGCAGTTACGCATCGAGCGGGTTGTGAACGAGCGTGAATCGACCAACGACTCGGAGTATTCGCCCCCCAAACACACGCGGGCTGCGCGGTTCATGCGCCGTGGGCGGGACAGTTTGGTGCAAGGTCGACCGGGGAGCGCACCTCCGGTGATGACTGTGGATGGTGGTCCCGCGCACGCGAGCGCATCCGAGAAGCCGAAGGAAGAGGACGAGAGCGACATCGCCTTCGGCGACCTTGCGCGTTTGGATAGTTCGGGCTGGCAACAACTGGAGGTGAAGCATGGGAAAGGCTTTGCCAAGGTCCTTGCCGGTAAGGCTCTTGCTAAGTTGCTTCATCGATGAACATCTTGCCGTCCGTATTGTAATACTAATGTATCTATACTATATCGTTGTGTGTTTGATTATGGACCTGAACAATGCGCACTTCTTGCAGATTCGGCAATACGACCCACGTTGCTCTGTGACTTCGCATGAAAGCTGTGGTTGTCTCAAGGGCGTACAGACTAGTGAGCCTGCACTCATTGTACAGATCAGACAACAAAAGCACCCCGAAAATGACCTATATTTCGTCGAAGCGTTACCGATGAGAAGTAGCAAGCATGAGGAGCATCACTGGTATTCAACGGAGAAGCCACGACTGAAAGGAATTTTCAGCGACACGTCCAAAACACCCTTCGTCAAATCAAAGGACATCGCCGACTTGCTGACAGCCTGCCCGTTGAGCTTGACGCTCCGCGGAGCATTCTGTACACCCAAGAAGCGGACGCGTGCAACGTCCACGCCAGTGGGATGGCCGAAGGTTCCCTTGACAGTTAGCTTCTGGTGCGAATAGGTGAATGAGACAGTCGTCTTCGTCTTGGGGGTGATTGAAATGCCGTCGTCGAGGTAGAGAGAGCCAGATGCCGTCCCATCGAGCGCGGGAGCGACAACGATCTCGAAGTCTGTCTCGCGCAGCTGCGTAGTCGTCATCGCGCCCTTCTCGCGAAGGGGTAAGACCGCGCCACCTTTGATCGCGACAGGGATGGAGGTGAGGTTGACGTCGGTGAGTTCTACGACGCCTCCTCCTTTGACGTAAGTCCGAGAGAGGTCTTGGAAGTCGTAGAATGCTTCGTCTGGGTAGTACGCGCTCACGCTCGTCGCGTTTTCCTCAAGCACCGGAGAGACGAGGATAGAGTCGCCGAAGAAGAACTGAGTATCGATCCCGAATGTGTTCGCATCCTTGGGGAACTTGTACCAGAGCGGGTTCAGCACTGGCGTACCGTCCGTGTGGGCCTGGTGGAACGCGGTGTAGATGTAATCAATTAGGCGGTACCGGATATCGAGTGCGTTACGAGCGGCCTCTGCGACAGTCGGCCAGCGATAGAATTCCTGGCTTATAGATGTGTCTGCATTATGCTGGAGGTGCATGATGACAATCAGTCTGGGTGGAGAACAGTCAGACCAGCCGAACTTACGTTACGCATGAAGGGGTAGAACGCGCCCACCGATGCCCAACGAGCACAGAGCGTCTCGGTCGTGTTCTCCGCTGTGAGACATCGCATTCAGCGTTCACATAAGTCGATCCGAAGAAACATTCAAACGTACCATAGCCGCAGATGTCAGCGCCCACCATGGGTATATGGAACACGCTCGCCATGCCGAGAATGCCCGAGAGCGACTGGCGGAGGTGGTCCCACTGACTGAAGTTGTCGCCGAGCCATTTGCCAACACGAGTACCCGCGCCAGCAAAGGTCGAGCGCGTGATGACGAGGGTGCGCTGACCTGGGCGTCGCGCGAGCATAGCATTATGCGTCGCCGTTGACATCATGGTCCCGTAGAGGTTGTGGGTGTCGTATTCGATGAGGCCGTTGGCATGGATGGCATCCGTCTACAGAGTCTCAGCAAATGTGGTACAAATGTTGCTCAGGGAACCACGCTCACGTAGGCCGTCTTATCTGACAACGCGCCGGAGCCGGCGAAGTTCGCGATATGGTACGGTGGGTTTTGAACATCGTCGTGGCTATGGTCGACACGCTTCTGAAGAGTAGTTGTCTCAAAAATGGGCGTGTTTGGATCAGGAGGGGAGCTCGTGCGCGCTGGAGGCAGATCTTGCTCCCGAGCCTGTTCAAAGGGGTCCGTGCATGGGTAGTTGCAGAACTGGTTGATGTAGCGTGAGTCACGACGGAGGCTAAGTTATGCCAGCATGGTTTGGCTTACGCTCGAAGGCTCGTTCATATCAATCCATGCGCCATCAATGTCAAGACCTGTATCGGGGCTGTAGAACATCTCGAATTCGTTGTTCCAGTAGCTGCACGGCATATTACGTTAGGCATGTTGTGGACCTTTGTAACACGAATGCTCACTCCTGCGTCTTCGGGTTGAACCAATCTGTAAGTCAATGTGGTTGAGCAAAATTCAATGACGCTACGTATGGAGAACGAACTCACCAGGGAAGACAGTCACACCTTTCAAGACAAAATGAGGACCAGCACCAATTTGCGGTCATATATAAGAAACCTACCTGGCCAGACAGCTCCGAGGAACGGGCTACTGTTGTTGGCTGCTTTCAGCCAGACGTCGGCAGCTGTACCTCTATCGAAGGGCCCGTATCCTTCTCCAGGCAGGTAAGCCACGGCAGGGTCGGTCATCAATACTGAGTGCCATACATTCTCAGAATGCAATAGCTGTCAATGGGCAAGACGGCCTACCGAAGTGCTGGTTGTGAGAGTGCAAGTAGTCCACAATCTCCCGCATCCGGTTCAAAGGGAAGTAGTCCGGGTCCACGGTGAATATCCTTCTTTTGTACATGTAGTCTGCAATGATGTTGTCAAAAGCTGCTCAAGTAGACGTCAAGGAAGGTAATACCGATATCAGTCCACATTGTCTCAAGTGGGATACTAGCGGCAGAGTAGTTGGTTATCACATTCGCGACGTCGACAAAATCTGTAACGCGTGAGTTCACATCTTCGGGCCTGCGTCTCATGTGCCAAAACACCTACTCTGGTATCCGAATCGGCATTGATGCAGGCCGAACGACCAATAGGGGACTTCCGCGGGCGTACCGACAACATCCGCGTATTGCCTTGCCACCTCGGTAGGATCTGTCTCGCTGCCAGCAAGGAAGTAGAAGTCCAGAATACCACCGATAACGTTGTATTCGAGCGTCGTTCCAGTGCTTTCCGTGTCGTTGATCTTGATGTCCATTCCATTCGAGTTCACTAGGAATACGCCATGTGTTCCGGTCGTCCTGTGCTCGAAATAGATGGGGTGGTTGCCATACAAGTTCGTCCCTTGTGGTACGCCATACGCGTCTCGAGACCAAAGCGTACGGGTATAGTTGTGAGTGGGCAAGCGGAATGTGTCAGTGTGTTCGCCAAGTCCGTAGATATTCGCATTCGCCGGAAGGTCCGTCTTCACTCGTAGGTACTGCGGCTCGAAGATGATGGGGTGAGCACCCGTAGAGAACAAGACTTCATGAGTCGAAGCGCGGAAGATCGAGAAGGAGAAAGGCGAGGTTGTGTAGTTAAACTGAATGGCAGCAAAGTGGGGCGAGGTGAAGAGGTTTGCTTGAGGCCTTGGTAGGACCGATTCCGGGACCTCATAGCGAGCGTCAGAGGGATCTGTGATCTTTACGTGGATTCGGCTGCCTGAGACCTATTGTCAGCGCGCTCCGAGTGAGAACCGGTAGAGTGCACTTACTACTCTCATAGGTAACCTCGAGCTTCAGGTGCTCGATGTCTGTGCCATACACGTTGCATGCCTTTCCTGCGAGGACGAGGTCTGCAGTTAACTTGGGTCCAAGAGTGAACACGTTCTTCGCCTTGTAACCAGGACACGCGTCCAGCTGAGCAGGGTCGCTGACGCCAGCCCTGACAAGGAAAGCGAACTGTCCAAGGACGGCGAACTTCAGCGCAGTGCGGAGATGCATGGCCGTAGGGGTACGCGCTGGTACAAGAAGGCGTCGACCGCGACGTCCTTTTACTTATACCACTACGGCCGCGGGCGGCCCTGACTGACGTCGGGAGTCACGGCGCGTCTCTTGGCTTCTCTTCGTCCGAATCGTCGCGTTCCGTGTCGCGGTTGGGCTCACTTGACCATGAGCGAAGGGCATGTGATGCAGACAGACGGGCGGGATTCTGATGGCGACGTAACAGACGCACATGGTATGATGACGAGGATGTAGTGCATGTGCGACCACTGAGACCGGTCAAGGAAAGCCATTGTGAAAGTGGTGTTCTGCGATGGCTTGGTTTGAGTTGGTTGTGTTCAGAATCAAGTATATAGACAGAGAACAGTGCCATGACATGCATGATGATACATACTAGTGCTTACCACTCCAACTGTTCAGGCAATGTAACATGATCACAGGCATGAAATTGAACATAGAGTGACGAATGTTCGGCCATCTTCATCACCCTGAAGCCGCATGGGTACACCGAGCTTGCTGCAGCTTCATTTTATCAAGGAGTGTCCCAGATTGCGAAGGCCTCAACAGTGGGTCCTGTACCGCAGCCTGTGATGAATCTAGTAGTGATGGTAGCGGGCCTGGGAGAACTTCGGAGCAGTCGCACTCGATTCTACTATGGTGATTATTCCTCAGACTATATCTATGGCGGCAGCAGTGTTTGCGAAGGTGCTATAGTGTAGTGGTTATCACTCGGGATTTTGACTTGGTTGCTCTTTCCCGAAACCCAGGTTCGAACCCTGGTAGCACCTATATCTTTTAGCATCTCCCTTGAGAGGTGCTCAAATAGGTTCTCTATTGGCGACGGCTTCTGTGAAGTCTAGGTCCAACCATTCTCCGTTTATTGTAGTCTGTATAGTATTGCTATAGGATGGGTACGGTTGGTCAGAACAGGCGCCGACTCTGCACGAGGGACTGGCAGGCTGCGACGCTGCGTAATTCTCCACAGTTCTCCACCCGTCGTATCGTCCCTAACAGCCGCAAACTCATACTTAATCACCGTCTTCTTCCTTCTCTTCCAATTGGATACCGGATTTAGCTGTGAACTTACACTTCCAGTGCGTACGGCTATGCTGATCACACAGATAATGGAGGCGAGAGCCAGTCAGCCTGCGGAAAACCGGCAAGAGAGAGACATGAAGACATCTACAATCGCGGCAATTGTAGTTCTGAGCGTGGTAGGCGTGCGCCAGGTATGTCGGTCCAGAGTACCTGCAGACGCACTGAAGATATCCACGTAGAAGCCAGTTTCCTAACTTCGACTGATAGGGACGCAAGGCAATGCCTCAGTACCGTGGAATCGCCCTTTCTACGGGCTGGGCCGAATCAGCTCCATATCTCCTAGGAATAACCGGTTTGCCTTGTCACCTTATGTCAAGCTGGTCAGAGGCATGTCATGAAGGCGATTCACACCAGGCTGCTGCGTTGGCTGTGCTATCGGTACCATGAAGATGAAGCCTTGAAGGGCTTAACGTCTGCTAGTCATTCTCGTGATTTCTGAGGCTGTCTGGCTGCCTCGTCTTAACCTCTCTGGGCTTAATGGATTCCTAACCGATGCTTTGTAGCCGCCGTCAGCGGAATATTACACTACAGATACTCTGCGGGACCTGAATTCTATGACACTGCCCAGGCACCAGCATGCCGAGAGGCAGTGCTAGCTCTTTGTTATCAAGTCCTCCGAGTCGAAAGGCCCTAGCTCTCCTCTTCTTCCCATCGCCTGCATCTCCCCTGACGCAACTACCCAGGCCCTATACAGAGTTCGCTATGCACCTTGCGCTCGCATCGTCTTCTATTGCACCTTCTTTCTTGCTACGATCTGACGACCCCCTGGAGTCTCGACTCGGCGACACGCTTCTCTTCCATCACGATGCAGATGCGAAATCACCCAGGATACTTGTGGCTTCGTCATTCTCCAAAGCGGTCTACTATACTATCTTCACGAACGATCGAGATTCACGGACGTCCATTGTGCGAGGTCTGGCGGACGCCCCCAAGAAGACGACAACTCTCGCGACCATATCCATCGCACAGAAGCATAGATTGACGAACGTCACTTCGGCGACCCCGCGCATGGGAAGCTTCGTCACTGCCTTGTTTAGTCAGGAGAAGACCCTCGTGCAAAAGCAAGACGAGAAGTCCGTCTCAGTCCTGTCGGACGAGAAGCATGATGCCAGTCTGTCGACGCAGCTCATCGAGAAGGGCGGTGCCGAGAGCGCTGAGGATGTTCCGATCTGGGCAGCCTCCAATCGATCCTTGAGCAGCTATCTGTCGGGAGACCGAGAAACCCTGATGATCACGTACGGCGATGGAGCACCTGAGTATCTTAGGAGGTGCATGAAGATGGAGAAGCAGCGGTTGGTCTTCCCTTCGCTGTCAAGTTCTCGTTCATGACCATTGAGGGGTGTTCACCTGCAGCGTCACCTTGATCACATCTGAGAAGACCTACGAGTTGCTCCCTACGCAGTCAAAGACGCTAGCGGTGAGCCAAGTCCGCGACTGACCTCTAGCTTGCCTTCCTCTAATCAGTCACCGGGCGAACGTATCAGATCTATGCCGTCGATGCCGCCACCGGCAGGCGCGAACAAGTGGTTTGGTCGAGGGCTATGGGGGTCCAGGTGAAAGGAGAACAGCTGCGCGTGGTGTTCCCCGCTTCTTTGACGTTTTATCCAGAAGCGCGAGGGTTTCTGGACGCAGTAATTGTTGCTCTTGTGGCATGGCAGATGAAGATGCACATGGAGCTGTAGTATGTGACAGATGATGCCTAGCGCGTCCAATTCCTCGTCCCCAATTCTTCTGTATGGTTTCATTATGACCTCTCAACATGTGCACAGCGACCCTGCAGTCTGAACTGTACTTTATATGCGTCCCTTGTATTTCTCTGCGGGCGGCGTGGCACAGGATGACCATGCGAGCCTGAGGCCCGCGTGCTACGGGCGCTCCGTAGTACGCCGTAAGAGCCTTGCCTTCCCGCGATCGGCATAACAAAGTGTTCCCTACAAACTTCCCTGTCGTCATTGTGTATGAGGTACCGGGAACGACCTAGGAGGCCGAGGACGCCTCTCCGAAGATGCCGTATGCAGTGTCCAAAAGGGGTGGACGTGTAACAGCGTGATGGCGATGCACCTCGGGATCCTTGTACTAGTAGTGCTACGTCGTGAGGACACTGGGCTATTCCATTCGTCGCACTGTGGTGGTGCATTGAGGTAACGATTATTCGCTTGTAGATGTCATCTTGGGCCTTTTCTGACAGTGCTGTACGTCCAAGTCCCTGCGAAACATCATGGGTACTGCCAATCGCCCTGCTACAAGCCACACCGCCGGTATGTTTCCGCGCTTAAGAACCCTGCCTCCGATCCGCGTGCACAGTGCAGCCGGATTCACCGCGAACCTCTTGTGCTCCGAAACCTGTGCCCCATCTTGGACGATCGCGGGACGCGACTACAACGCCTGCCATTTTGATCAATATGTGGGGGAAGCCGGCAATGGGACGGGAACTAAGAAGTCGTCAACTGATCTGCTCAGATCGACGTCCGCGACAGCCCCGCGGTGACTCTGAGCCTAACTATCCCGTGGGACCGAGGGTCATCGCAAGTCCCCTGCGATTGTGCTTGGAGGCCGACATCACCAGCCAGGCTGTACGGATGTGAAGTCCGACATTGAGTGACAGGCATTTGTGACGATCACAAGCGACTCGAAAGGGGTCTCGATTTGAACAGCCCATGCCCAAGGAAGCTGTGGACTTTGGTCCTTGTCTATATTCTGGAAGTCTGTGTGCTCACTATGCCGAAGTCGGCGAGTTCGGGATTATATAGTCATTGGCATTGCAAGTCAACGTCCGAGAGCTGTGATAGATAACGAGAAGAAGTGTTGATAGATACTGCGAGATTGCAAGAACACGGATGGCGGGAGGCATTAAACATTAGGTATCGATACCTCTTGTACGTGATGACCAGCAATGCTGCCGTAAAATGGCGTCCAAGATGGCAATGGAAGCGTGCGCTGAGCCTCTAAGGAACTTGCTCAGCGGCCTCCGCAACCAGGGCAAAGGCCAGCAATTTGGGGAGCTAGGAAATAGGACAGATTAATCAGTTCTGCGTGCTGGAGGCGCGCGGACTTTACTCACAGTACTGCTGCGGGTGCCCACGACTGTGATAAATGCAGGTGTAGTCAGGGACTGTATCAAGGGGTATGATAATTTGTATGCTCCACGTACTATTGCTTGCAAGTCTGCTTGCAGGATGCGCCTTGACAGCTCTTCGGGTGCATCGGGCTGAATTTACACCGCGGGTTGTCGCATTGCACCTGTGGCATGACATCGTCTATGAAACGGTATAGACCATGCGGACAATCTATAAAATACCTGTTCATCGGGCTGCGAGCAAGGGGTCAGTGGTAGCTCGAAGTAGGTTACACCAGTCACTAACCATAGGGTAGACATGACCGCACTTGTCATAGACATAGCAAACTCTGGAAACCCATTATCATACCGTAAGCGCGAGATTGAAGCGTACTCACTGGCGGAGGTAGCACATGGTAATAGCGATGTACAGCTCAGAGTTGGGGAATGTTGAGAAGCCTTCGATATCTGAAGCGGACGATGTTCGATATCGAGGATGGCCGCAGGTGGGCTATCTCTTATAGCGACCTAAGAACGGTGAGACCTCAGCAGCAACTTGGACTCCCGGGACACATAGGCCACAGAGAAGGTGCGATGATGCTCAGAAGTCGCTGCCGCCGGGAGAGGTCGAGGTGAACAAGCATGGGACAATGTCAGATGGATCAGAGATCCATGAAGTCATTGCGCACGGGCGCGGTGTACCGATCTAGGATAGGGGCCAGGAGGACGAGCCCAGCCACCCAACGAAAGCACATGGGGGTTCTCGAGGACATGGTGGCTTGGAAGTTGGTAAGAGCGAGGTCGAGTATCACTCAGTAGGGTCGGGCGCGCAGAGGTTTCAAATCTTCGAATGTCAGGTGTACGCCCACATCTCCGATCCTTGTCAGACGAAACAGCTCATGGTCCTCCGGTGCGCCGAGAGCGGACCAGAAACTGTGCAAAACGTCAAGGAGTTACAGTTGGATGTTGAGAAGAAATCCCTCTCGATTAGACGGCGAACACCCGGTTCGATCACCGTGGACTAAGCGGTCGGTCGGGGGTCGCCGAAGCATGGCCAGCCAGGGGTGATTTGACGAGCTAATTTTCGAGATGGTGGGAAACAACAGGAGAACAGCAAAAGTACTTTGGTAGCCGTCGGAGGAGCGTCGCCCTGGCGGCTTCCTACTCAAAATGGCAGCCGACCCACGTGGAGCTAGAAAGCGGTGCAGCGCTCATAGGATCAGGAGCGTCCAGTGTTCTGCGCCCGAGACACCCGCGCCGAGCATCGTAAGTACAACGATTGCTTCCAAAAGAGCTGACCTCCTAAATGCCGGCGTTGATCCGTCAGCCTGAGATCGTTCCGAATCATGGGCAACAAGGGCAAGAAGAAGTCATTCGTCGAGAATAAGGTCGGTATTAATATTGATATTGCTTACTGGACATTCCTGATGTATAAAGCGTAACATCATGCGGTTCAACGACAGGATGAGGAGATAGACTTGGCGAGAAGCGTGGCCGACGCTCAGGAACAGAAAATCAAGGAAAAACTGGAAGCGCATCACTACAAGGTCGGCCATGCAATGCCTGCCGGTCCCAGCACTAGCGGTCCGCAGTAACGGCGTTCTCTGGCGTGGCTGACATATTCTACAGGCTTCC